TAAAAATGTATAAAATTTGTAAAAATGTTAATTTTTTGATTTCATTAAAAATTTAAAGTGTAGTTAGGGGAAAAAATTTCAATGTAGGATCTCTAATTAATGCATCTACCAGTGGGTGTAACTACAATTTTGGAGATTTTGTAAATGAAATGTCGATTCCCGTTGAAAGCACTAGTCTTGAAGGTAGTCAAGGCACTGAGTCTAGCTCTCCTGGCTCTGGGGGTCTTAAGGCTGAGACTGACCTTGAAGTATTGGTAAGTAGACTAGCTCAAAGTAGATAAAAAATATTTGTATTGTTTTGTAGGTATTATTCTTGGGGCCAGCTCTTTTATAAGGAAGGCTCTGGCCCCGAGACTATACTGGGTAGATTGTTATAATTGCCAATTTACATGTATAGTTGTGTATAAACCTTCTGCAATAGAGGATATGCGTGCTAAGTATATTCATAGCTTTTAAGTACTGTATATCCAACCCACACGGTAAATTGGCCGCCATGTTGGACGTCAAGTTTATTAAGAGTTCAATGGGGGAAAACACATTTTCTTGCCTTGCTACCTCCTTGAGGCCTTTTTCGGAAGCTTAGAAAGCATCCTGAGGATCTAATGTGGTCTAGTAGTCACCGAAAAGATTGCTATCAAGAAATACAGAGCGGTTTCCTGGTACCAAGCCTTTTTCTATCATTTCTCCATTGCTGCCAATGGAAAGTGACATCCAACGAACTAATTTTTTTTTGAAAGTTAATACGGTATGCAATGAATATATTTATTTTGCAATGAATATACTTAGCACGCATATCCTCTATATGTGGGGTTCCATCGGTTTCAGTCAGCCATCTTGATGTACAAAAATAACAATGGCTCTTAGAGCTCTTGCATGGATATAATCAATGGGGTGTGGCCATGACTGTCTGCCATGTTGGGTGGCAAGAATGTACACAGAACGAATTCAGATATAGAAGCAAATTATGATTTTCCATCGATAAGATATACTTGGCTGTAGAATAATATAGAGAGTTTATCACTCAATACCTTCATCTCCTACCTTGCATTAGCCTGGAATGTCAACTGCAGAATTTATTCAGATTTTCTTATCCATTCTCCCCATTCCACAATGTACCGTACAGCGCAACATTTTTTAGAGCTTTAAATTTTGTAATTTGTTGAAGATTTGTGAAAATTTCTTCCACAAAAATCAAATTATTACGGTACAAAATAACAAAAGCTCAGTCAAATTTTTGCAAGCAGCTGCTTGTTTCTAACACAACTTAACAATTTTTAATCACACTAGATGCATGCACCTCTTTAGTATGAAATGGCAGACGGCTTAAATTTGCGAGAATTAAAGTTGCAAAATAGATTGTTAGGCAAATTGGCAAAATTTACAATTCTCCAAAATTTTGGGTTCCATGGTACAACATGGCGGACTGTCATAGCCATTATAGTTGATTACCATCAGTGCAAGAGCTCTATTCATTGATACACAAAACATACTCTATTGTGAAATATACTCTATTTTGAGCCAGACTTTAAGATAATTGCTTAATTTATAACCTTTTAAACTTGTTTACTACAAAGATAAGGTGTAGTCCAGGATTTTAATAGTTTTTTTGAACTCAGTTCTAAAAACATAACAGAAAATGGCCCAAGATTTTACCACATAAAAATTGAAAAACAGCATTATAAGCTCCAGTGTTTATTTTTCAGACCTTTATCTTTGTATTAATTTGGTTTTACATTGTAAGCCCTAAAATCCAATTTCGTTTGATTATATAAACCATGAAGAGGATAGGTACATAAATGGGCCATTTTTATTTTTTATTCTTGTACTCCAAGATGGTAGTGCTTGGCAATGTATCACAATTCACAATATTATAAGTAACTGGAATATATCAAGCCAGAACAATACTTTATAAGGAGATATTAAAATTGGTAATATGAAAGTTAATGGTCTTGGCTAAATAACTATTCAATAATGGATATCAATAATCTATTTTCAGGCAATTTATTGATCATATATTGTATCCATTCAAAAAATTTAAATATTGCCCAGCACTCCAAGATTGCTGACGGAAAACTAAACCCCCTAATTACCCACCTATTGCAGACTGTTTATTACACTGTATATCTATGGTCCATATGTCTTTTATTTAAAGAACTTTGTAAAGTATCATTATAATCAAAATGTCAAAAGACAGGCATTGTACATGTATTTGCATACTGTACAAGATGATTTATTGGCGAGGAATTAATATTAGTGATTGGTGGTTGTATGAAGAAATTGCCAATATAAAATCTGCCATTTTGTTTCAATCTGAGCATGCTCAATGGCATGTGACACAAAATCGCCAATATAAAATCAGCCAATTTCTTTCCACAGGCAAATTTGCCAAATATTACTTTTGCCAATAAATCATCTTGTATGGTACATGTACATGTTAGGAAAGAAATTAGGGGAAATATGTGCATTGCAGAGCATGTGGAAATTAGTGAATTGCAATTCCAGAGTATTTGATTCTTTGTTCCAAACATATCAAATAATAAGTTGGAATTGTTTGAAGTTATTCCGAATTAAGCCACACCCTAGCCATGCCCTTTAACATTAATAATAGCTGGTAGACCAGTAGTTATTAACTGCATTATTATTAAATAATGTCGTAGAAGAGCTGCATCTGGCTATTTCTATCTTTAATTTACTATTTTCTATATTTTTACTGTTAATTGTAAACAAAAGTGAACCCAAGATGCTTCCCTGAGGGACACTGGATAACACTGGCAGATATTACAGGGTTGGTAACCATGAACCTTAACAAATGGGGACCAACCCGAAAGACAACTTCAAATCCACATTCAAATTTGGCCATTAAAATTTCATCAAGCTTGAGCAACAGTTCACTGTGAGATGTAGTATCAAAAACTTTTCTGATATCTAGGTAAGCATGCAACATCATGTTGTGCCTTTGAGGAGACAGATGTAAGAATTTTATACGAGAACAGCTGTTTCACTTTGGATTTTTAGGACCTACATGTAAGAGCTTAAGTAATTGGGTCGTACACAGCAAAATTTACATTTTAACTAGTCAATCATTTCACTGACTAGAAGGAGTACTTTAGTGCCTTTTAAACTGTTTTAATGATCTACATGTAACTAGCTACTAGAATTCAAACAATAAATATTCAGAATTAGTATTTGATTCCTTAGCCAAAAGTATTCGGAATTGAAATTTTCTGGATTTGCCCCTCACTATTCGAAGTTTTTCTATTGAAATAATTATTAATTATTTACAAAGATTGTGATCAGTTAATTAGCACTATATGCATTTTTTAAAAGGTGAAGTCTCATTAATACTGTGTAGAAGGAAATTATGGAAAAAGTTAAATTTGACTATTTTGGCATTTTGATACCCATTTGCCAAAATAAAAATGCGCCATTTCGAGCTATTATGTGCATGCTCAATGGCACATGGCCACAAATTTGCCAAATTGAAATTTGCCAATCATCATGATTTAGCAATTTGTCAAATATACATGTAGCTCCCTCCAAAATTTTCTTTTATATGGTACCTACTGCTGCCTTAAGTGCCTTTGCTGCTATGACACTACAATGGCTATGCTTGAACTGCAGCACTCAGCACTGTTTAGTATTAATTGAAAAAATTAGTTTATTTTAATTATTCATTCTAAAACAGTACAGCTACAGCCTTGATGACAGTAGTGGTTCTAAATTACATGACAATAAAGATACAAAATTTTGCATTTTAAATTTTGGCAATGGAGCAAGAAAGAAATTTACAAAAATATATTTTACCATGAAAATAAGCTGTTATAACAATGTACATGTACGTACTGGGTCATCTCATATGTTATTATAATTAATGATATGATTTGTTTGTCAGTAATCAGTGCACATACATGTACAAGTACATTGTACAGCATAATATTTGTCACTTTCGCTACATGTATGTATACTTACATGTAAGTGTCTTAAATGCAATATTTCATATGCAGCATCTGTTATGAGTCTGTGCACTTTGCATGTACAGTTTAATCTGTTCATGCTGTGTTTATTATTGTTTATTTGATTTACTGTAGAATAAGAAATTGTATGAAGCTGCTGGAGAAGGGGACATTAATAGTGTTCAGTCATTATTATCACAAGGAGCTGATGTAAATTATCAGGATCAGGATAATTGGGTAAGTCAATATACACTCAAGTACACAAGTAGTGAACAAATTATTTTATGTTGATCAATAATTTGTTGTTTGCATGTACAGTACATGTATGCATGCATGTACTTGTGCCTTGTGGAGTTGTGGATATTGTAAATGAGTTCATTGGCCTCACCTGTGATTAGCATGGGTGTGGACTACCGTCTAGCTCCAAATTTTTGTCAGTCACAAGTTTTGTCAAATTTTAATTTCTTGTTAACACAATCAGTACTAATATCAGATAATTTGGGCAACAGTCCTGAATCAGGCATGATAACTCTTGGGCTTGTACTGTCAGTTTGCAGCCACGCCCGGACGCCTTTAAATTTTCAAACAAAGCTTGGCAAACCTGAAGCAAATCAAATAACTTGTACATGTATATTATTTAACTTTAATGTGAATTAAACGGTAGTTATGCAGGAAAGATTTGAAATTATTAATTTATGTGTATTTTTTGCTCCAGTGAGGCCAATGTATCACTTTGTCTCATTAATGCAATGTGTTTACTAGTTTATTGTTCCTCTCTCTCTGCTTTGTTATAATCTACCACTGATAGTGGGTTCCTGCTATGTATGTACATGTACATGTTATGTAGTAATTATTGCCACACCACTCGTGATTTTTACTCTAATTAATGCTGTTAATAATGTTACATGTATGTGACTTAATTATATTATTATATTTTTAGCGTAAATGGACTCCTCTTCATATTGCAGCATCAAGAGGACATAATGAAGTTGTATCAGTTTTATTGTCTAATGGTGCTGATCCAAACATTAAAGATGAAGTAAGTTATACTGACAGTTTATAGTAATGCAAAGAA